TTCAGGCAATTTTAGGGTCCTTAACAGAGATCTAAATGCTGTGAGTTCCATTTTTGAGCTAACAGCATTGGAACCCAAGTGGGATGGCAATATTCTGCTTGTCTGTATGTTAGATCCTTGGGACACTGAACTCCCTCTTCTGTTCCACACCCACAATGGTTGGAAGATCATGAAGAGAAAGAAGTGTTTCGTACCTAGGGCAGGCTTCAGCGATTTGCCTTGTCTGTCTGTTGGACACAACTCTCTTGATCTGCTGGTCTACACCTTTCAGTACAGTTAGTTCTCCAGAATCCTTGATACCAGGCACCCGAGGCAAGCAGGGATGCTCTGAGGGAATGTGAACCTGACCTCCTTCTCTGGAGATACGGTTCCTCTCAGACTTTCATTAAGAATGAGTTTTTTAGTCTTTTTCTTGTGAATTAATACTTTGCATCCACAGCTGACTGGGCAGCCTGTTTTGATCGGCGGGACTATGGGCACCTGTAGCTATGTTCTTACTGGCACAGAGCAAGGCATGACTGAGACCTTCGGAACTACTTGCCATGGAGCTGTAAGTCAAAATGTCATTTCAGGGAGGGATTAGAATGGGACTGTCGTCCAGAGAACAAGGTTGTTAAAGGGTCATCCAGTGTGTGATTCATCTGTTGGTCATACAAGTAGACAGTAGCCTTGCCACAGTAATCTCAGCCCAGGAGGACTGCAGGCTGGAAGTCCTCTTTGTCCCTAACTAAGTGGTTTTGACTACTCCTGCAGAAGATTTAGGGGGTGCTGCTTTATGCAAGGCAAATGTTAGGATGAACATGTGAAGAATGAGCTCTTTTACCAAATTCTGATATCTCTGAGCTAACAAGAAGGATTAACTGTCCTGAGGCTGTCCATATAAAACTCCTCAGTAGTTAAAAGAAGGCATTTCCTCCCCTGTTATTTACAGCATGAGACAGGATGATTGAGGAAGATAAATAACTTCCAGTAAAACTCCAGCTCCTGAACACTGTCTGACAAGTGGTTTGGGTAAAAAGACACTTGCAGACTAGTATGTTATACACATGGAACTTTCCTAGCCGTCATACCAGATAAGTGATTTTGCAGGAGCCCATCACCTAAAATCTACATTTATTTCCTGTTTTGTGGCTTACTGTGATCTGTGCTCTCAGCCATTCCATGTTTACTTATAATGTAATAATGTTTTTCTTGAATAAGAAAGTGTTCTGTTTTTCAAAATGGCTACAAAAATAGAACTAACAAAACTGCTGTCTAGGGTCGTGCACTGTCTCGAGCCAAATCTCGACGTAACCTGGACTTCCAGGATGTATTGGACAAGCTGGCTGACATGGGCATTGCCATCCGTGTTGCTTCTCCCAAACTGGTCATGGAAGAAGTAAGTTTAATTCTTCGTTATCTGAGAGGGAAAAGGGAGTCGTGCTCCTTGGCTGAATGATCTGCCCTGACTTGATTTTTTGCAGTGCTAAGTGATCGCTAGGACTCTAAATATACAGCTTGTGTGATTTCTGATAGAGCTGTCCAGTTTTTTGGAAAATAATGCGAGTCTTCCCTGTCCCTAAAATGTTGCTGAAAGGGGAGATGCCTGTTTGACAGGTTTTGGGGGGTATGTTTTTTTTCTCTTCTGCCTGGCATTAGGGATAATTATGATCAATCCTGAGAAGTCTTAATGTGAGAATCACAAAAGTAGTTTATGTTTTATGGATTCTCTTCCTTAATTATTTTCTCCCAGCTCTAAACTTACTTTATACTGCAGCTGTCACGTAGATTATTAGCAGTGTATGCAAGATCTGCCTCTTTTAAGATGAATTCCCGTACTTGCTCAAGAAGAAGAGAACTCTGAATGGCTAGAAAACTTTGAATATTATGACTTCCAGTTCCTCTGCATTAACATGACGAAATGTCTTTTCTGTTCACCACCTCACTCATAGAAGCATGTTAGTAATTTGGAACTATGCTGTTACGGGTGTTCGTGTTGTACAAACATGTTGATCACATTAGAAGCTCTATTTAAGAGCAGCTTCCTTGTCAGAATGCTGGAGGGGGAAGCTCTAGAGCTCAACCCTGATTCCTGTCACTAAGGGGCAGTAAAGATGAATCTTAAAGGCTAAATCTTAAAGGAAGTTGGAGTGACTTCCTGCCAGATAATGGGGCTTGATGTTCTCACATGCTGGTGGACTGGATTATCTGAGAATATAGGGAAAACTGAACCACAATAGCTAGTATTTTATCTGAAATATGGTGAAAACTTATTTGGAAAGCTAAGTGTCTCATAGATTTCTTAGATATGTAAGGTGGCCAGATTCTCAATATGTTCACCTACTTCTACACCTTCAATTCATATGATTCTATTTTTTGCGAAGAGAAGAGGGGATATCAAAAGCCTAAATCTAACTTCCTGTGACTTTGGGTTGTTCGTAGTTTTGTCTTTTTTTTTTTTTTCTCTCTTCCCCTTCCAGGCACCAGAGTCTTACAAGAACGTGACAGATGTGGTTAACACATGCCACGCAGCTGGCATCAGTAAGAAAGCCATTAAACTGAGACCTATTGCTGTTATAAAAGGCTAGTAAATGACAAGGCAGCAGAACCGCACCAACATCTCCAGGCCTTACACAAAACCGACTAGAACCGTCATCTTCCCACACCCTTTGGACTCTGTAGGATGCTCAGATATCACATCCCTATTCTGGAAATTTACAGTTGAGGATACTCCTATTTTTAACGACTCCTAGGCATAAATAATGCCCCCTCCCTCCTCCTTGTTATATGGTGTTCTTTTCTTGTGAAGAAATGCTGAAGAAATAAGTAAGTCTTGGGTTTTACATGCAGTCCCTCCCCCATTTGCCTAATGATTCCACCCAGACTTGCCTGAGTCGTCACTAATTGCTGTACTGCAAGACCACCTCCATCAGCAAAGATGGCGTATGAACCAGACCTGCTGTCGCCACACCTGAGTGCCTGGAGCTCTTTCTGCATATAGAAGTACTCTGATAGGTAGGGTATCACGCTTCTGGGCAGGGAGAGGTTGCTCTGTTTGCAGATATCTTTATACATAGTCTATATTGTTGCATGTTTTGTGGCAATCGGGTAAGAAATATGGAGTTTGGGAGTGGTCTCCTGCTTGGGTCGAGAGGGACTAGCTAGGCTTGAGGCGCAGACTTCCCCTCTTCCCCCACCCTCTCCCATTTAACACAGCACCTGGTGTACTTGGCTCAGTACTAGTAGGTGTTCCACAGTCTCATGGAGATGTTAGGAGGACTGAGTACGTTGCCTTGAAAGGTTTTGTTTGCCCAGTAAAAGTTGTGACTTAACAACTTACAGATGTGCTAATCCAACATTTTGCAAAGTCCTAAGCGTGTAAAAGTTGGATAATATCACTCACTCTGTCCTGCAGCTCTGATTTGAGTCCAATTGCAGGGTCAGGCCCAGTACGATGTGACTTCTGATGTTTCTTTTGCATTCATTAGCCAAGACTGGAGGGGAAACTGACCATCCCCATTGGATCATTTGGAGGATTACAAATAAAACGGGAAGATGGACACTGCAGTGTGTCTGTGTCATGTTTATTCTGTGGCTAAAATGTCTGTTGTCCACTTATAAATACATACATGAGCTTGAAACCCACCACCCTTTGTGACTTACGCTGATGCAAAAAAATGTGTAGATGGCAGAATTTCTTGCAGGATACAAGAGAAGGGCAATGCAGTGCTGTTTTCTCAACTTGGTTGTGACAAGAGTGTGATAGCTATAAATTTGTCTTTCTCGGGGCCTGCTGGGTCCACCTCACTGGATAGGGGATGGAGCTTGCCTGTAAGCCTGTACGCAGACACAAGAGGGCGGCTGGAGGAAAATCAAACCTCAAAGTAAAGGTGGAGCCCTGCCAGGGACTCCTGTAAAAGGAGCAGATAGTGATTGATGGACTCTAGTGCCTTTTGATGAAACATCCCTTTAAGTTTAGGATCTTAGCTGAAACCTGTTGATCTCAGGACGCATAATGGTATTTTACTGTCTTAGTCACTTTGTGCTTATTGGTTTCTTGAGTTCAAATACTGTATTTGCTGCAGGTGCAGAGGCAGCACATGCAGTAATAGTCCCTGCTGCGAGTCCTTGTTAGTCTGACTTTAAAGACAGTTTCTTGTTTTCCTCTGCTTTCTCCAGTGGAATTGTTCCAAATTGCCATCTCTGAGGTCTGAGAGACACTTGCTGAATTTCAAACAAAAATCATTTCACTTAGAAATGTGAACTAGCCTCCAGTGACTGAAAGACAAATTGTTGGTCTCAAATCTTCTGCTGAAGTGCATGTTCCATGCAGAAGTTTCTGTCTATAAATATTTCAGACTCTGATGTGAAGTGCAAGGGAACCCTTAAAAAATTCATATTTAAAAATAAAGAAGTGTTTCTCAGACACAGGTCATCTTTCAACTTTTACCTACTGTTGCTGTTAAGAGGCAAATTTCAGTTTTTACAAGCAGAAATCGTGTACCATGGAGGTGCTCTCATATGTATGCCTTAAGTCTTCTGATCATCAGTGTTTATGCATTAGTATTCAAGAATGCAAGAAGTACTGTCAATTTTGGTTTCCTGTTGCAAAGCTAGTACTGCTTTTGGTTATATGTTGTGCTGTATGGAGTAGAGTGCTGGTTTCCTAACCACCTAAAAAAGTAAGCGTAAAAATGTAAGATGTGTCCTAGATCTTTGTTTAAACCTGTATGTTTTTCTAATTCAAGTCTTTTTTTTCTCCAAATAGGGCTGTCCACTACTTTTTTAAATCTGCATTTAAAAATTAAATTTAAAAAATCGGTAGGTAGGGAAGGCACACAGTATTAAAATTCATGTGCTGAAATACAGGTGGATCTGCAGAAGCATTTTCCCAACACCAAAGAGACCATGTAGTTATTGAACCATCTCCACTTCATGAAAGGTTACTGACAACTCAGAAATACGTGCTAACATACGATGTGCTTCCCTCCCTTCCCCGAAAGACCGAAAAAGCTTTGGTGAGTGATTGTTAGGGTCTTTTTTTCTTCATTTTTTTGGTGGAAAACTGCAGGTAGGAGATCTGCGTCTGCTCCACACCCCTAGAGCTGTTGCACGCCTCTGTCCAACTGCAGGCAGTCATCTGTTCCCTGCCTAACTAGTCGATTCAGTTATCTGTATGTTGACCTGCAGCAGAAGGTTTGCTGGCCTTGGGGCTTGCACAGGGTGTTCTGCATTAAGTCTGCCTGCAGCCAGTGCAATAAAACCAGTCCTTGGATGCAGGCTTCTTTTTAGTGAGAACAAATAGCTCACTGCACTTATCTTACTCTCTGCTCAAGAACAAGATGTCTTAACTTACGGATTGGACCTGCTAGAACAGAGCTACTGCCTCTGAGAAATAGAAGGTATCATCTCTGGTGGTGGCTTCAATGGCATCTTCCTTCTCCCTGCACTGACAGGGCTTGCTGCAGGGACTGGCGCTGCGCAGCGACAGCAAGGACGGGTGAGCGCTTCCTCCCTTGCCAGGAACTGACTGTTGGCAGTGCGCTCAGGGGCTTGTGCAGGTGCTGTTCCCGTCACTGTTAGTGTGGCATTAAATAGTGAACAGTAAAGCGCTTTGGGTTTTTGGTGGTGCTGGATGACACTGAAAGAGAGCCCCCTAAATGCATCCCCTGTGCTGGGGGGTGCTGCTTGCTGGGGTGCAGTGTGAGGCAGAAGGGGCAGCGCTCAGCCCTGGGCTCTGTGAGACCCCTCCGGGAAGAAAGTTTTTCCCAGCAGCATTGCAAACAGAGGACACCCATGTTTCACTTGCCATAATGCATGGCAGAGCTGGGGTGCAGCTGATGGCCTCCTTCTCTTTGACTTGGTTAAACTTTGTGTACTCTAGGGCTCCCTAACTCAGCCTCCCCCAAGGAAACCAGGACCCAGCAAGGTATGTGCTTGCAGCGTTATCTGCTGTGGTGTATTTGTGCTGTGTCACACACCCCAGTGGTTGGGAGCCCAATGTCTAACCTGTGTCACGTTTATCACCATCCTAAGTGTCTTGGGAGTTTTTTTCCTCTGCTCCATCGCTCCTCTCCCTGCTTTAAACACAGCTCCGCACACGCCGCTTCCTCCTCCGCTGGTGGTCCCAGGCTGGTGTTCTGGCCCAGGAGGAACAAGTGATCTCTGACACATCTCTGGCGCAGGCACCCCCGGCCTCTCCTCCGCTCTCCTTTGTTCCTCTCAAACATAAACACACTTAACTGGCCTCTTCTCTTCTCCCTCCACCCCCCAGTCTTCAAAGCGATCAGACGGAGCAAGATCCCTCCCTCAGCGTGTGCCAACACGCTCCCCTGCTCGCAGAAGGAAGGCTTCAATTAAGCAGCGGGCCCTGCCTGTACCTGGCATTTGCTTTGCTCTCTTGAGCCCTGTCCTAGCGCCAGGGGTTTTGATCACCAGCACCTCTGGTTTTCTGCCTGGAGAGGTGGCAGTGGGAGGTGCGCGGCAGCAAAGCGGGAGCTCTGCAGTTCCCCAGCCAGGGCGATACTGGGTGCAGGTGCTTTGTCTCCTGCACGGTGGGAGGGAGAGGAGGATGGAAACCTCCCAGCACCCACAAAACATCAATAATTATGCGGTTTCTGGTGGGGTTTGGGTTTTTTTTTTTTTTTAATTGCAAAGGTAACAGGAGGGTGGGAGTCATTCCCTGCAGCTGGGGGGAGTGCTGAGCAGTGTGTGAGCTGAGGGAGGCGGGGAGCAGAGGACACAGAACAGCCCCTGAACTCCCCAGGCAGATGTGCGACTTGGCCACCTCTGGCACCAACCAAGCAATCCCCAGCCTGAGATGCTGCTGCTGGCTTTTGTGGTGCTGAGCACATCCTCATCTTACTGCACCCTCATTCCCAAAGCCCAGGAGACTGCTTTGGTTCATGTTGTATATAAAGTTCAGAAACCAAAATAATCACTGGTCTTAATTGCAGAGATTAGGACCAGGAAAGGGAAATGGAGTCATCTGCCAGCACTTAATCTAACATTTACTAGCTTAGCAGAAGACACGCAGGGGCTGGGCTGCCCTCTCTTAAACACTGAAGTGTTTGAGTCAGCCTTGTGATGAAGCCTGTTCCTAAAAAGAGGTGCCAGGGGCAGCCTGGATTGCTGTTCCCCCCATTCCCTCACCCCAGCTGAGCTATAGCCAGCATCTCCGTTCCGCTTGGGCTCAGTTTTGCCCAACAGGCAGTTGGAAGGGGGGAAGCATGTTCCTCCTTTCTCTCCTTCCTCGGTGCCTGAGGAAACTGAGGCACCGACCCGTTTTTCTTCCCCTGCGCAAGCTGTGCCTTGTGTTGGGGAGACGAGGTGGCAGCCCGGGCTCTTCCCCTCTCCCTTCTCAGCCCCAGCCAGCCGGTGTGGGGTGGCAAGTCAGGTAGGTCATGCTTTCTGCTCTTCCCTGTGAATTGCAAACCCGGGGAACCTGTTCCCCTGCCATGTGTCAGGAGGGGAAGAAAAAATAGATGGGGAGGGGGCCCCTGCGGGAGCCCAAGGGGAGGGAGGGATGCAGCTCCTGCAGGGGAAGATGTGGCAATGGGGGTGTGTGCGATAAGGTCCAAGCCCTGATGTGTTAGAGCAGCAGCTTATTACCTGAGTCAATTAAGCGGTAGGAGATTATCAAACCTGAGCACCCTCGTAGGGAAGAGCCGCCCAGGGAGAACAGCAGCCTGCCGGCATTGTGAATATACACACTCGAGGACAAGATGTTAGGGTTTTATGACCAAGTTTAAGGGGGAAAGGAGGGAGATGAAAAGCAGTCAAATACAGTACTGGGAATAATGGAGGAG